CTAAATCTAAGGATTTAGGATTGTGTACAGTGTGTCTAAGCCATTCCTGTAAACAGGTAGTCATTCTGCCTCAAAGTTTTGTGTAAAATTTTTCGGCACAAATGATAAGCCACTTGATTATGTGTTGCCAGGATTTTTAGGGATTTGGTAACTAGATACATTTTTATGGATATGTTCTTAGATTGAGCTATATCATAAATTGCTTTCCAGTGTGATGGCTTTCTTCTGCCATAAATTTCAGCAATATTTTTTCATCCCGTTCTCTAGCTACTGATTGGAACCCTTAAGGGTTACTAATTAAAACCAGCTTTACAACAGGAACAGCCATGCATAATTTGATCTCCATTTCTTGAATCGATAGCTTGGTAGTTAGCAGCCCTTAGTAAAGAGCCAAGCTTTTTGACTGACTCTCACTCCCTTTGTTTTTCCATAATGACCCTGTCATCCCTGGCCATTTTCTCTAAGCCTTTGTCAGGCTTTTTGATTGAGTGGTGAACTGCAGCAATACTATGGAAAGTTCTGACTTTCTAGTAGCACTTAAAAAAGAACACATACAGTGTCTACATTTCATTTTGTCCTATTAAATTTATAGATTAGACAAAAGAAAACTAACTGGCTCACTCTGAAGCAGACATTTTCTTTAAAGACAGAATGCCTTTAAAAAAAGTTTGGCTGAGGTCTTAATAATTAAGAGGCATGTAACTAAGGGTTAGGTCATGCAATTAGTAAAAGGGTGTTGAAAAATTATCCTCAAGCTGCTGCCCTAGCTACTGAACTAAATGAAAAAGCTGAATTCAGTGAGCAGGTATTAACATGGGGAAAGTGCACTAATACTTTTCTCTCATGGTGATTTTGTTAACTGTACTACCAAGGGTTAATATGCTTCTGTTTGCCTATAAAAATAGCTGGCAACAATAAATCAAGAGCTCTTCTTTTTCTTACTGGTGTTCAGAATCATTAAATAAATAAGGAGAGGTTTCAATACAGTGAAATGTGGTTTAGAATTATGTTCCTTATCTCGTTCAACAAATGTTTGTCTTTTCTTTTTCTGTGAGAACTATCAGCGCTCTCACACACTGTCCCCACCCCACTCACATGGTACAAGGAATGTTGCTTCACATATTTTGTTCATACTTATTTTAAATTATTCAGTTAAGAAAAAGTACTCTGAAAGGGAATTTGTGTTCCTTATTATCCTTCAAATGTTAAAAATGGAACTCAGAAAGTTTCACTGAAGAGAAAACTCCCACTTTCATCCAATTCTTTATCTTGTCTTTCCATCCAATTATCTTTTATTAAGTAATTAAGCTCACTGAGCTCCATATGTTGTGCTAACTAGTCTGGTGCTGCAAACTCAAACTAACAACTTTAAAACTAGCTGCACACAGGTTTCTTTTTGTCAGTTTTCAGACTTATGGATTTTCTGATGTTTAGACATCTTTGTCTAATGACATTAACATATAACTTTCGTCTTTTAATTATCTTTAACATACAAGTTAGAAATTATTCTTATTCTCCCCTGGAACATATATGGATATTTTATAGATGAGACCTTTCTGAGTTCAATGTAGATATATGAAATTTTACAATTAAATACTTTTCTATAAGCTGACCATATACCAGAGAAGAGAGGGAGTTTTTTTAAAATATCATGATAACTATAGGGATGATTAAAGACTCAGTATCAACTTATTCAGTATTACAAGAGTCTTCAGTTAGCTGGACTACTTTTACATATTATTGAATAGTGCAATATTTTTTAAGAACACGAAAGAGCAAATAGATATGAAGTGCAAATAAAATAAAAAATATATTCTAATCATCCCATTGGAACAGTGAGATTTTTGACCATTTCAGAATTTTTGCAAAGATTAACACATTTTTCTAATTTCTAAATCTTTTCTTTCTTTCAAGAAATATATTTTTGTTGGGGAACACAGGGCAGAGTGGGAAGAATATCAAGCTTGGCGAAAGATCTACAGCCCTGAATGAGACAATATTTCACTGGACTTTGCTATTATCACACCGGATTTGACACTACCCTGAATTGGACAGTTATCCCTAGTTGTGTTCAGTTTGTTGTTGTATTGTTATACTGTTATTTGTACCCCAGTTGTCGTTTTAAAATTTTATCCTCCATGTTGTCTCCCTCTTCCCCTCATAGTTTTCCCGCCTTTTCCCTGTTTTCCCGCTCCTCTGCCTGCCATTGGTTAGAGTTTGGTGCAGTGCAGAGGTAGCTCTCATTGGTCCCTTCCCATAGCTACGCCCAAACTCCTCCCCTCCTTAACCAGTTATCCAATCGCCCTCTCTCTTGAGTTGTCAGTCCCATGCTCCTCCCCAGTTCTGAATCCTCCCCTCAAACCTACCCTATTTAAGTCCCTGAGTTCCTTGAATAAATTGGCATTGCCTCACGAGATCTCTACTGTGTCTCGAGCCCTTCTTGCAGTGCCCGATCCCTTTCCCTTCCCCCACGGGTCGTGGCATATTTTAGACTACTTTTTTAAAAACAGATATGAGCACAAATCTCAATAATTCATAGTTGTAAGAAAATTCCTGTTACCAACAATATTTCTATTATTTTATGTTTTAATCTTGACTCAGCCAGCCACTTAAATGGGTTATGTTGAGATTTGTGTCTTGTAATGAAAAAATTATATCATTCTACCTCTAGTAATCTTAAAGAGGATTGCTACAAAATAGTTTGGATTAGATTTTCTGAAAAGTACATAGGGTAGCTAAGACTCCTAGAAACATCTCCTTTTCCTTATCACCTTGAACTGAGCCAGTACTTCTGTTTTCTGGAGGAGGAGCAACTTATTTTAATTCTTAATTTTTTTTAATTTTAGGTATGGAGTTGGAATCATCTATCTATGATGAAAAGTGCAGTCAAAGTTCAAACTATTAGAAGGCTAAGAGACTACTAGCTTGTACAAGCCTACTTCAAATATTACACCTGTAAGTTTGATCTGACTGGCAGTGTCCCAGTCTTGATAGCACTTGAGCCATCACAGCGGAGAAGAGCAAGAATTCATGACCAGTGACTCTTTTTTTCAGTAGGTTACGGTTAAGTTTCTTCACACCCATAATGAAACCACAGCACGGAGATATTCTGATTCATGAAGATTTCTCAGGTCTTTCAGAGTTTCAGCCACAGAAAAATATTTCCATTCTTATCTCTCCAAATATTTGTAAACTAGGCATTCACTTCTTTTAGTGAATACGCAAAGCTGCTAACAAGATCCATTAAAAAATCTAATGATTATGAAGAGTGTAATAAACATTTCTATAGATATAGATAGTTTGGTACAGAAAAAAAATAAGACAAAATTTAAAACCTCAAAAGTTTCAACAGTTTCATTATATGTTTATTATATTACGTAATATATTTATATATATTATTATATATCTAAAATTTACTGTAATTTTGTTTGGGTTTTTTTTCATTAAAGCTTTAGGAAACAAAGGCTTTATCATGACCCAAAAGTTAAATTAACAGCTTATTGCAAGAGTTTAATATGTAGTTATTTTAGCTCTACTGAGCCTCATACGAAATTGTGGGTGGCAGTATCTTTGTATTTTGGATAAGACATATTCAAATTAAGTTGCTGGAAGTAGGTCAAGAAACATAAAAAAGACTTAACCTTGATGAAGCTTTGGCAGCAGCTGTGTTACATCTGTGTAGAGTTGCTCTGGGGGTTGATGCTGAAGGGAGTTTGGAGTGTTTTACTGTCCTTTTCCTTCTCTCATATCCATACTTCACTACAACAGTTCTCCATAAGCTTCTAACAAATGGTAAATAAATGTCCTGGAAATCATGGAAAAGTTGAAAACAGCTGGAAAACTGGAACACAACCTGCAAAAACATCTATTTAGCTGAAGTGAAACATGACTGAATCTCAATGCCAAAACTGCTCTTCAGAATTTTGTTTGCAGCATTGACCTTCTACATTTCACATGCAGGTGTTAATACTAATTGCAGTAACAGATAAACATGACTTTTTTTACAAATGGACATTGGAATATAAGAGCAATTTCTTTTCTACTTTAAATAACTTGGTCTTCTATTGAAATAGTAAGATTTTTAGGTTTATTTATTTGTTTTTATTTTGTTTGCTTTGTTGGTTTGTTTTGTTTTTAAGATAAACAAGAGGAAAAAAACTCAAGGAGGTGTAAGTGATTAGTCTCTACAGACTGTCCACATCAGCATTTTCTCAATACAGGAGTAGGAAAGAAATTTCTGAGATACTTTTTTTTCCTTTGGCCAAATGAGTAATAAATAATGAAAAGATAAATAATGAATAGGAAAGCAACAAGATTTACTAGCAGAGTCATATCATCAAGAGGAAGGCCGTACAGTACAGTAGGATAGCGTTACACTTTCAAGAATATTGTAAGAATATGCTGCCTGTACGTCTTCTGTAATGTAGAAAACAAAATAAAGCCCCCTGTAAAAAAGCTTGATTTTTCTCATGAAACAAAGCAAATGCAAAGGCTGGGGGGGGGGGGATTGATCACATTTTTTCCTTAGGTATGCAAATCACAGGGTACGTTTTCCTAGTATGAAATTCCACAGTTTGGAGAAGAAAGGAAATGAATTGTGATTGCAGTTCTAGGCAAATAATCTCCTCTTACTATATATGTAAAATATATATTGATTCAATTTAATCTTGTCTTGAAGGACAAAAGCTTTTTTCTGGTTTCTTTGGACTAAAAAAATTTTTGACAGAACTATGATTGTTTAATGACGCTTCCTTTGCTAGCAGTTCCTAGCCAAGTAATAAGTATGTATGTTTATGCTGTACTAGAAAAGTATTACATAAAAGATATTTTAATAGCTGTTTCTTTTTGATTAAGCACATTTCTAAAACATGAACAGTATTATTAAAATTAACCCATTATTATAGCAGTAAAAAAACTGTTCTGTTGGAGGTTATTCCTACAATCTAATTGAGTAAAGCTAAATTATTCTCTGTCTTTGTCTTTTTTAGAAGTGAAATTAGATGATGAATCAAAACATGAACTTGGGCTCCATTCAGAAACAAATGGAAGAGACACACATTTTTGGGACCCAAACAAGACAACCTTATACATTAGGTGGAGATTGCCAACCAGATGACCATCTATGTAATTCAAATCTGCCATCTCAAAGTTTCTACCCATGTTCATCTCATTATACATATATGCATATGAATTACAGCAGTGACTGGGAAATTTTTGAAGCAGTAAAAATTCAGGAATTGGAAGAAGTCAAAGCCAGAGCTGCCCAAATGGAGAAGACCATGCGCTGGTGGTCAGATTGTACTGCTAACTGGCGGGAGAAATGGAGCAAAGTTAGAGGAGAAAGAAATAAAGCCCGAGAGGAAGCAAGACAACTGAGAATCAAATTAGACAGTGCTATAAAAGAAATAAGTATGCTTAAAAAAATAAATCAAAATTTAATAAGTGAGAAGGAAAACTTAGAAAACGGAACTGCCTGGAAAACAGAATGCAGTTGCTCAGAAATATATTATGGTAAAAAAGACCGAAACCTGTTAACATTTCTGGAACCAGAACCTGTGAAAGAACTGAGTAAAATCATCAAAATTCCTGGGGCAGAAGACAAAAAGAAGGTAAAGAATGGGGAATCTTTTTTTAGTTCATGAAGAAGCAACAAAATATGGGATTTTTCAAGCATTTTGACCAAAATGCTGCCTCGTCCATTCACTAGCAAAACCATTTTTCTTCACCCATCTAAATATTCCTAATATAGAGAAATACAGAAAATAATTCATACCCATGCACTATGACTAAACATTTAAGTAACAGAGGCAGACTATTCTATCTAATAACTTACAGTATTGCTCTGACTCTCATGTTTTAAGGTAACAGATTACCTCTGTTATCGAAATTCATCATGTTCTGTGTACTCACTTTTTCTTTTCCCCTCCAAAAAAAAACAAGCTACATTCTTAGCTTTTAAAATAAAACCATTTAATTCTCTCCGAACTTCAGAAATATGGGAATAGATGAGGCAAAGTCTTCTGCAAATTTGCAAGAATTTTTGTTTGATAAGGAGGGCAACTAAATCCTGACATAGAATTAAACAATCAGGCATCGTTTAATCAGCTCCCAGTTCTATACAAAAGATCCAGTTATATTCATCAAAAATGGAACTATTTACGCATGTTTCACCACCTTTAATTTTGTGCCTTGGCATGCATTGTATAATCTTCATAGACAGCATCATGTCAAAACTGTATTTGTTGTCTGATAGATAGTAGTCATTGTAGATATAGGTAATTTTTTCATACATTGGAGAAAAATGGTTCTCCCTACATTGTAGTACATAGGAAATTTTTTACTTCAAGGGAAGTCGTTGAGATTTTAGATCTGAACATGTTCTGTTCAGAATTTTCATTCACTCTCTAATGTATGTAAATTATATTAAATTCCTGTGAAATCTGTGTGGGAAACAGTGGTTTCTAGTATTTTCTGATGTAAATTTTGGGCATTATTCTAAAAACTTAAAAGAACAGAGTGGTATGAAATTGAACTATCGGTAATCTACTCAAATGACATTAGCTTTTAAACACTATTCATCAGAAGTGGTAAAACAATAACATTTATAAAGGAAACTTGTTTATAAGAGACATTCAGTCTTCCTACTGATTATGTATTTTATTTTTTAGTTATTTTTCCTAGTTGTTGTTAGTATTGCTCATTTTTTCATGCAAAACATTTGTTTTCAAAATAGATATTTATATACTTTGCTCCTTATGAAAAACTTGTATGATCCTATCACCTGCTTCAACACAATTTACATTAAAAGTTTAAGAGTTCATAAAGTAGAATTTCTTTATATAGTGTTTATATGCAAAACTTGCATTCTGGGTTTTATTAGTTCCAGGATTCCGTCTTCACCATAGTTATAGCCAACAAATGATAAATGAAATCTATTTCTTTAGTAAAGACACATTAGAAATATTTTGGATATGAAGTCATAACAGAAGGTGTGAGACATGTCACAAAATTACAGTGATTCAACTTTTTCTTCCTATGTGACTTCACTGTCTAGAAGAGCCTTGGTAGGCTCTGCAGGAATTGTCTCAGACTTTCCCTTTCATTTGCGTTTTTCTCAGATGCCATATTTTTGTTTTCTCAGGATGTAGAGGTAAATAAAGTCCAGAGCAATCACAATAAAAAATTCGCTCCAAAGTCCCCTGATTTCTTCCTTGATGGACTTCCCAGTATCTATTTGGAGGAAGCTAAAAAAAGTTTGGACACTACAGCTAAGACAACTGAGAATGACTTAATACATGTTTCAGTCTTACATTTGCATTTGGCTGAGATTAAGAAAATCTTACAGAAGGAAAGAGAGTAAGTACAAAATATATCCTACTTGGGGAAATCTCTATTAAAAATAAAGGGGTTTAAGACACTTTCTAATATAGATATGGTGATTTTTGCATTTATATCTCATATGCTCTCATGTCTAAGCTTTAATCACTGCTATTTACAAGGCTCTGATAAAAATTTAGAGAAAGAATTCAGCATAGTGACTATGTGACTAATTTCAAAATCAGTTGAAGTTAATCAGAAAATCAAAATGAAGAAAACCTCAACCCTGTCTATTGCAAATATATTCAACCATGTCCATTCAGAGAGTGTAATGGTAAACTGTTTTGAAGAATTTCTTTACTGTCAGTTTGTTTCACAATTGTCCTGTAGATAGCACAAGCCTGAGTAAAAAAAAAAAAAAGCTTTAAGTTCCCAAATAGTATTTAATGTGTTTTGTTATATGAAATAGATAGCTGTAGAAAGTATACAATAATTCTTTACTTGAATCATATCGCAGAAGATTACCAGAAGTATGTTCTCTCTCCTTAAAAAGTGCTTAGGTTTTTGTGGAAGCAATATGTATATGTGTGTGAGTTAGGAGACTAATGCTTCACAAATTTAATTTTACTCCGGTTGAAATATTTAGAGTCTTAGGTACTTTATCTTTCAATAGCAATCAAGGATACATACATGAGTATGTATGTATAATAATTTTCTTTTAGAAACATGATTATTTTTCAACTCTTGTTTTTAGTCACTTTTTAGGCAAAACTTTTATAAACTATGCTTTTACCTAGTGGTTATGGTTTTGGTTTGTGTGTTTGTTCACATGCTTCCTAGCTGATTTGTAACTGTATTTCAGAGAGACAGATTTTGGCATTTATGCCTGGATGTATACTGACTGGCACAAAGTAACAAATTTACTGGCACAGGGTAAGAATTGAGGCATATCTAGAACATGCAATATGTGGCTGTGCCAACCTCAGGCAGCAAATGCTCACAGAGCAGTGATTTCCACATAACAGCAGGCATTGATATAACAACTCCCTCTCTAGGTCAGTTTGGGCAGCATTTCCTCTGTGTAAAGATGTTATATTAGCAGAATATATGCAACTTCACAGTATGAAGCAATTTTATTTGACAAAGCACACAATGAATAGCTAGGAATAACATTACTGGGAAAAGTGATATCATAGCCACTGGTCTCTTGAGATAGCTGGTGAATCTTCATTGGGCTGGCTGTCATCTGCTGGCTCAGAAAGGGTTGGTCTCTGCTGCTTAGTGGAATTGACTGATTTTGCTGTTTCCATCTTCAGATTCCCAGTTTTCCCTTTTAGGTTTTGTTCTTGTTCATAACAGTAATTTTGCTTCTGGATTCTGGAGCTGTTAATAATGTCTATCTCAACAATCTCACCTCTGCATTTTTACTTCCCTTATCTTGCATGGTTCTAGCTTCAGTACTTTCTCACAGCTTCTTCCTTACAACTTAGCAATTTTCTCAGTGAACTTGAGCCAAGGACACACACAGCTGTGCTTCATCCAAAGCAAGCAGATCACAGACAGCTTGAACCCCAAGGCCAAAGGTTACTTTGGTAGTCAGTATGATCTTACTCATAGACTAGAGGACTTCTCAGCAGTTTTCTGGTTTACATGCAGTACTCTGAACTGTGGCTGCATTTTTTCCAGAGCCAAGTTAGCTTAAGCAGATCCAGTGTTTGGACTTGCTCTTGTTCCCTATCTAATTTTCCTATAAGATGTTTTGTGTCTTCACCCTGTGACGACCTATGCCTATTGCAGAAAGAAAGAAGATCTAAAAAAAAAATAATAAATAAAAGAAAGAGATGAAAGTTTATATTTTGACTTTCAAAAAATGTCAGGGTTGGATTTGCAATGTAAAATCACACACCATCATCCTCTACAAGGCACTAATAGCTCATATCAAATACACATTTGAGGTCCTATTGACATAAATGGAAATTAAAAACCTTATGAGTTGTTTGAGACATTAAATAATAATTTGCCTAAAATAGTTATCTTTGGTCATTTTTTGGATCAGTGATCTCATCTAAATGTCTTCTAGTTTTAAGATTGTAGTTTGTTCCATTTTGGACTTAAAAATGTTTCTTTCCTCTAAAACCAAAAGCCCACAAACTACACTCATAGTTAATAATATCAAAGAGGAATTTCTTAGAGCTGGATGAGTAGAGTTAGATAGTGGATACAGAAGGCTCTGTCTGAATATCAAGAAGTGCTTTTTTTTTTTTTTCCATGAGAGTGACTGAACACTAGCACAGGTTTCCCAGAGAGGTTGTTGTGTCTGCATCCTTGGAGACCTTCAAAAGCCATTTGAACGTGGATCTGAGCAACTAGCTCTAGGCAACCCTTCTTGAGTAGGGGATTTGGACCAGATGACCTCCACAAGTCCCTTTCAACCTCAACCATTCTATGTAATCATGTAATTTAATTAGATAATAAGGAGTTAAAATAGCTGGTTACAAGAGCCATTAAAATGCTATGACCTTGATCTTTTTACCTAGTAGTAAGCTGCTTCACTGACCTTTGTTATAGTCTTTCTTCCACTCTTTGTTTTCTTTATTTAAATAGTAAACTTTATGTAGTCAGGATCAGTTGTTTCATTTAGTAGTATCAGAGGGACCTGATCTCACTTAAGAGGTACTGTAGCATAAAATAAAGCTATTGTCTTCTAAATAAGCTCCTCATACTGGACATTCCTCTTTTACTTTTCTGATTAGATAATTTCTAAGGACTTTCACTACATTCAATAAAGTCAATAGGCTATTATTCAAAGTATTAAGCTGTCATCTTCTATGCTTTCCCTTTCTACTGTATTAAATGTCCCACTTAATTATTCTTTTAGTTCCCCCATGAAGTCATGATATCATTCCAATGAGATATTCCATTACTTTAGAAGAAAAAATGTTGAGTTGAATTGCATGACATACATCTTGCTCCACTTTGTATTGTGAGTGATGGTGTTTATTATTATAATGTTATGGGAGCTCTAGGTGTTTGCTAAGAGAAGATGTATGATGCTAAATCTAGGCAGAAAAAGGAGATCCCTGGTTCAAGAACAAGAAGATTTTTCACTGAAATGGATTGCTTCATTAATGTAGCTAACATTGCTTCCAGGACCTGAGCTACTCCAGTCAGTGGTAACTCTTGCTATCTTTGTACAAGCCTGCAGTGTGCTGCACAGAAATGCCCCAGACAAATCCCATCAATACACTTTGCTTTAACAGATGGATTTTAAACTAAATGTTCTCAGAATATAGTTCTAGTCTAGCCTGGCAATAGCATCTTTAGTAAAAAGGCTGACGAATTCCATTAGCCTCAGAATGGAAAATAACTACAATCTGGCAAAACAATTTCTTTAATTCCAGTATTGGAATTTTTGTTTAAACTGTTTCAATATTTTTTTTCATCCTACAGGCATAGTACTTCTGAGCTAAATAGTCCATTTCCCTAAAATTCTTCTAACATTTTCTTTCAAGAACAATTATTTATTGAAACATGAAATATACATATTTTAAAAACTTTTTTAACATCTAAAGTCAATCAACTTTGATTTGTGTTATGTCTTCATACTGTATATTTTCCCCTCTAGATGTATGTTTAAACTAATCTTCTGTCTATACCAAAAAAAATGATGTAATACCCTTTCTCTGAGGATCTTCACTACCTTGATATAAACTAGGTGATCTGAATCACTAACTGAAGTCAAAGTTCAAATTTTCTTCAGTTTATCCCAAAATTTTATTTTATTAAAATTTTAATTCTGTACTACTGGATTTCTTTTTTCTCTGTAGCTATTAATTTTGGTAAATCTCTTGGAATAATTATGTGATGATAAGTTTTTAATAAAATCAAGATATATCATTGATAAAGGCAGCAAAATATAACAAGCTATGGAAAGGATATTCAAAGTAATTTGTCTTTTGTCAGCTTAAAATGGTACAATGCTGAATTTTAAAATATTTTTTCAGAATGAATGCATTTCTGGAAAAAGAAATGGAAAAGATGGAAAATGAATTATTTCTTTATAAATGGAAATATGAAGAACTGAGGCAAACCAAACTGGAAAGCCTGAAACAGGTATGTTGGCAGTACATCATTATCACATGGAATAAGAAAGAGAATTTAGACTTCTGATTTCCTGTGTTATAGCTAAGAGTAACTGGTAAGGAGGGGTGGCAGCGTTCTCAGAGATGGTGGGGACATTCTGAGATCCAGGCTGTGGCCAAGAGAGGTAACTCCTGCCTAGGGAGAGCTGAGTGCCACTTCAGACCCAGTTGGCAAGCCCAGCACATGACCCATGTCTTTGGGGAGTGGTGGTTTCTCCAGCAGTTTGCGTGTGGGAGGGAGCTGATGGCAGTACGAGACACAGCAGCAGCTGTAGCAGCACAGCCTGGAGCATGGTCTGCAGCACCAGCTGGAAGAACTGCTGTTGGCACGGCAGAGACCTCGGCTCAGAGCTGCTGAGGGAGGATGCAGGCTCCCAGGCCTTGACCTGCAGACAGCTAATGAGGAGGGCTTTGAACTAGGAAAGGAGGCAATGAGAGATTACAGACCATAGTCAAATGAAGAACTGGTGGTTATGTGGAAAGTTTGGGGCACAGGTTGATAAGAGCAAGAAAGACTTCAGGAACGATAAAAGAGTGTGAAGTGACAACTGTCTCAAGCATTGGTAAAGAAATGCACACATTCTGGAAACAAGCAGGAAAAATTAGAGCTGTATGGGGTTACAGGACTGCAACATATTTGGAACAATTCAAATACTGTGTGAAGTTCATGCAGCTGGAGTATTATGAAGGACTGCCAGAAACACTGGCAAGGAAGGGCTGAGGGGGTGGAACTATAGGGGATCTATAAGCAGCACAGGTCTTTTGAGATCTCCACCAGGATGGGGGTTAATCACACTTGTGACTCAGGATCAGAGGAAAAGGTAATAATGATATCATTATGGTAGGAGTTTGTTACAGACTACCTGATGGGGAAGCAAATAAAGTGTTTAAGGAACCCAAAACTCTTGAGTTGTAGACCCCAGTTCTCATGAGTGACTGACTAGAGCTGCTAGAAAGACAACATGGCTGTTGCAATCAAAGAGATTTCTGGAGGGTTTCAAAAATAAATTCTTCCTGAAGATATTAAAAGGATCAACCAGTGGTGATGCATAGCTGAATCTACTGTTGACTGATATGAAGGAAACTAGTTAGGGTTGTGATGATGAATAATTTCCTTGTCTGTGGTAACTTTGAAATAGCAGTGTTGGTGGTCCTGAAGGAAGTCAGAAAGATGAGCAGCAGAGTACAGACCCTGAACCTAAGGAAGCAGGATACTGGCTTACTTGGGGAACTATTGGAATCATTGGAGGCAGCTCCGACAGGTAAACAAAGGAGTCCACCAAAGCTGGCAGGTCTTGAAGTACAGGATCTTCCAAGTGGAACAAATGTTTGTCCTAGTGCTCAGGAGAACTGGTAGATTTGTCAGGAGATTGATTTAGCTTATAAGGGCTCTCTTGGTAGAGTTCTGATGCCATAAAGCAATATACTTTTATAAAGAAGATCAGCCTTCAAAGAGTAATTTAAGAACATTACCTGGTTATGTAAGATTGGTGTTAGGAAAGAAGTGTTCATTTCAATCTGAGTTCGTGAGTAGAAGAATAAGAAATACTTGTGTTGCAGTTTACAGGGTTTAGCTTTCTGAACAATGAATTAAGGACCTCTTAGATCCAACAAAACTCAAAATGTGTGTCTATACAAGTAAACATAGACAGTGAATTTAAAATTTCCTATGAATTTAACATCTTAGATTTGGAATAATGCAGGGAATTCAGCTTTCTTTCATGTTTTGGAAAAGATTTCAAGAAGTCTATTAAATCCCAAGTTCTAGTTAAAAACTGGTGCATCTGTAAATAGAATTTCCTTCGTAGATGAACATATGCAGGAACAAATCAACATCTATCTCTCATATTTGAGTTCCTTCAGATTTTAGTTCTCTATTTTCTGCTTGCTCACTAAGTAGAATTCTAGCTTGCTATTTCTGCAAAATAGAGGAAGTCTAGATTTAGATAATTATAATTTAGAAATGTAATCTTTGTACTTTATGGTGCTGTCAGCAGGAATAACACAAAAAGCAGTAAAAATTTACTGAGAATTTGTTGGAAATTGATAGCAATTTTTATGCATGTGCATGCAGACATACATGTGTTGTTGCTTTTTTTTAGAAACATGCTCAATTGCTTTAACTGCTAACAGGAGATGATATTTTGAGCATTCTATTAATTTTCTGAGATTTATAAGACATATCTCTAATTCTTAAATTACAGAAGAACACTGGTCTTGATGAATCTGACTAATGAATGAAATCTGACTGTGAATGAAATTACTTATATTAGTAGAGTTTTTGCAAGTGAAAACCCTTCCTTTACTGAAAAGAAACAAATCTTGTTTGTTGACAACACATCTGTGAATATCATTCACTATATATTACTGTTGAGAAATGGCTGCTGGAACACCATACAAGATTTTGACAGTGAAAAATTTGAAAGTGAAATAAAGGAAAGTGCAGACATGTACTAGGATAAGTATGAAATCTGATTCCTATACACACTTGTAATATTAAATCACAAAGAAATTTCTGGATTAATAACAGATCAATCACTACATCTGGATTATTTTCATGCCCTCAACTAAGAATTTTTGGGTTTAGTTATGCCTAAATTAATCTGCTATTTTCTTTGGTAGATTGCCTAACATCCCATGGGAATGTGAAAAAAGTGCTTGGTTTGCAAGTGACAGTGCCATAGTAAATTAAACCATTTTTAAGAATGTACAGCTCTACTAGCCTTTTGGAAGTTTGAGAGATTTTGTAGAATGATAGAAATTTCACAGCTGCTGAGACTTGATTATTAGTGCTGCCAGTAACTAATTAATTTCTGCTAAAAGATGAATATTTACTTTCCTTGGAACAAACTAAATACAGAAAGCCTTGGTGATCTTGATGATCATCTTTTTAAAAAATTATGCATTCTGCATAAGCTTGCAAATTGTAAATAAGTTTTCAATGTATTGAGTTAACTAAAAAAAAGTAGTAAAGTGGCAATTTATGTTCATAGTAACCATGAACACTATGGAGAGCTTTGTGTGACACTAGCATTGAATTTGTTTGGAGTCATAAATTAGATCATTTTAACAGATATATCAGAAAGCTGCATTTAGTGTTACAATTGATAATTTCCTATTCTGTTATAAGAATTCTGTTCTCCCATTAAGTAATAAAATAAAAAGTTAAGACTAACACTAAGAAGTTCATTGTTCAAATCTTGATTATGTTTGACAGGCCTCTTTATTTTCAAGCAGTCAGATATCATCTGTTTTTACTGCATATCATTTTGTCTGTTTCTCCAAGGACACTCAGAATTTGTCATTCGTTTTACTTTCTCTAACCTATCCTTAATTTCAAGTGTACTTTCATTATGACAATTTCAAACTGAGTCTTAATTGGTTATTCTTAAAATTAACTCCTCTCTACTGACTAGGGCTTAAGTTTTCCCTTACTCGTCTAAAAAACTGAAAATTGTGTCTTGTCTTTCTTTAAAGAGCCAGTGAATGAACACTTTATGTCTGCCAAATATTTTTCCAGGAAGGAAAATGGAAACTGAGTATACCTTCCTTATACTTTGTATTTATCCCAGGGAAAATGTATTCTACTATATGGAGACTACCTTAAAAATTATTGTGAATTTGTGGCCTAAGATTGCTATCAGTATCAGAGATTGCTAGATACCTTTGCAGCTTTTGAAGAGACCTATTTATGAGCTTGTTAAACAATATTTAGTCCATAAAATCACATCATAAACTGAGATTTACGTGTCTATATTTCTTAGCTGTAAAAGACATTTTGTATGTACTGTCTAGTTAATAAACTTCACTTATACTCCTAGAGGAACTTTTAGCTCTTAGTGGGATACTAAATCAACTAATATTTTCTATGCCTTGCTTTCCACATATATTAAAAATAACATATTAACAGCTGTAAAACACCGACATTTTAAAAAAGGGGAAAGCAATTACTCAGTATAAAATTACTTTTATTGTTGTGTTTGCATGAAACTCCACAGAAGGGCAAAAATCAAATTTGTAAAACTGTAAAATAAATGGTGTTGACATTAGATATATTTGAGGTTAAACTACACTTTATTGGAAAAACCAAGAATCTTTAAGCTCTCTGAAGAACATGAACATTTCTACATCAATAACATTATTTGTTGAACGTTCCCAGAAATGGACTACTCAATTTTGTCAGATACAGTTTATTTTCCAATCAATTAACCAAGAGTCTGAGAAACACAAGAAGTGTATCTGAGTCTGATTACTTAGCTGTTTGGACTCCTTCTTAAACAGAGCAAATCCTTAGTGAGTTGCCCTGATGTTTGTAAACACAGAACTGTAGTTAGCAAGGCAGTTAAAGTTTTAGGTTTTAGAAAGGTCACTTAATCTTACAACATACACAATAAAACATTCTTGTTTATACTCATTGTAAGTCTTCCTCAAAATTTTATATCTGTCTTTAAAATTCCTGTAGGAGATGAATTTCTGGTCATTTGAAAATTAAATAAGATGGAATATTTACAAAGCAATTTTATATTATACTGAAAAGAGTGAAAAAATGCATATACTACTGTATTCCACTGGTGTGCACTGTAGACTTACAAATGCCACTGTAGGCAGCAACTTCTGTGTTGCTTAAAGTAATTTTCAGCTAGCTGAAGTGAAGAATGTGCTCTTACTCATGTGCTCTTACTCTGCATTATCTAGTGTTTTGGTAGTTAATGAGGGAAATTCATATTCCAGGTTGTGGGACATGAGACAAAAATTACTCTAATTGGTACTTAACGCTTATCAGAACATCAGTAATAAGAAAAGTATCCCTATATAAAAAGGAAACCAGGCTAAATTAATATTTTGTATCTTTGGCAGAGACATTTCTGTTGTTCCTCTTTTTTACACTGTTGAAGGTAACTCACCAGCTATTGATTTTGCACTACAGCAACAAAAATAATCTTTAAACATCTTTTAAAACAAATGTTTTCT